CTTGTTTGCCAATCATAGATAAAAGTCTAGGAGAAAGTGTAGCCGGAACATCACCTTAAAACTTGGCCAAGCAATCGTAGACAAATCTATCTAGCTTTCAGTGGCATATCCGATTTTGCAGGAAAACTTTTCAGGAAGTTAAATTCATGATCACAAGTCCTAAGTGGAAACGACAGGTCAATTCTAAAGGGCAACCTATCCAGGGGCTTCGCCCGCTTAGGCGCCAATTAAACTACAGCCTACGTAACAATGAAATAAAGCGGAGGGGAAAGAAAAAAAATGTTGACTTTTGAAAGAGTATTCATTTAATTGACGAAATATGCGGCATAGCAAGCTATAGGATGGTATTTTACCAACTTGCAAAAAATCAGATCAAAGTAACCATCTTACTTAGCCGCATTTCAGGAGGACGGATCAACAGACAGGCACAGACTCTTAACAATATTGTAGCTAAATAATAAACACCCAATAATAGTAATGGGTGATTAGGAAGTGGTCGAAAAATGATGACAGCTGACAAAACGCTAACTATTTTGATCTTCTTAGTAAGTCGTCTGTGTAAAGTGAAAGTTACAAGAACTAAACCCAATTAATAACCTGGCTACTTTATCTTGCCACCGTATTTTTCTCTAGTAATACAAGACCCAGCTGGATAGCTGTCGCACCATGTCCAATAGCCATTGAGCTTCTAGAATCAGCCTAAAAGATTAATTGAAGTGTCATCCTATTTAACCACTGGGAGCTGCACGGAATAATCATTCTCAATCTTGAAAAAAAATAATTGTAACAGACATTTGGTCAGTATTTGGTAAAAATATAGTGAAAAAACACCTCATAAATCAGTTGACTCGACATTTGCATTTGGAGAGAACGTTTTTATTTATTATTTTTTTATTTATTAATGTTAATTATTAATTTTAAAAATTACAACGTTAATTGTATCTATAAAGGCCTATCTATCTATAAAACCTAAGCGTTCCAACTCGACTCTGATACATGCCTAAGTAATTACACGTGTATACATACAGGTGTATTTTCTGAGCCCTGCCTGAAAAACGCCCTTGTTTTTGTGTCCACCTACGTAAATCATGGAATAGGTCACGTTGTTGACGAAAAGACACGTATGATTTTTGACTTGCAATGCCACATCGTTCAGGTGCTTTGGTATCGGGCCGTTTTCGCGAGCCTCAACTGGATTCAGCAGTTGTCTACATGTTTCGTTCATACAGCTCTAGTGCAACAAAAAAGGCGTTCTTTGAAATAGGCAAAAGGTAATACACATTGCTCCCCTTTGCCGCCCATATATATATATATATATATATATATATGTAAGAAGAAATATAACAATGAGCCTTCAAATGAGCCTTCGCCTGGAGGATATGTTCTAGCAGACGAAATATGACTAAGTCATGAAGATACGTATTTCCTTTGATCATTTATATTTTATTGACGTTGTGCGTCACGCAAGCAGCATCTTCAGAGGATAGTCTTTCTTTTTGATTTGAATTGTACAATGTAAAGGTGCAATCAGAAAGAGAAACAGTAATTTCTTCTATCCGAACTCGATCCCTTCATTAAATGACACGGTTATATGCAATTGGCAGTTCTGTATTTCAGCTTTACTTGCCTGAAGATGAATACCACGGGGGTTGGACTATACGAAGATTTGAGCGTAGAAATCAAAAGTTATCGAATGAAACACTGCATCAGGGTAAGTCGACAAGCAAATATATGTCGCATCGCTTTAAAGAAATCACTCATTAAATACAGTTCAAAGCCATGAAGCGATCATAGGATATTTGAACACGTCGGCTGTAAGGCTATAAAGTTAAGTAAAAAAAATTACGCGCTTTCGATTGTCGTTCATATATTCCGTAAGTGTCGGCTGTATCCTCGTGGAGCACACTACACGCATTTTCTGGAACCAATTCACCACTGTTTATTCAGTTTCTGCCTTTTCATTACTGGGGTTATAATTTTGTAATACATCAGATATGAAATGCCAGTTTTAGCCCTTACATTCCAAGTTCTCCTTCCATGAAAAGTTGCTTTTATCGTGGCAATGCGTTCTTCTGGTCACCTCCTCGCTGGTTTTCAACATTCCGGTCTTTGTTCGCATCATGTTCGTACTGTGCCTTCGCGCAAAGCCTCCTTCCCTAATGCCTTCACTGATCTTCGATTAATTTCCATGGTGCGGTGGGTTTCTAGACACAAAAGCTCGTTCACCGCGCGTCAATTTTCCAGCTTAGAAGATGTTTTTGCTTATAGACTTGTTTTTCCTGAAGTAAGATTGACTGGTGAGTGCTGATACTCACAAGTTCTTACAAGACTGGAGTAGCAACCCAATTTTGTCTGCTAAGTTAAATGTCACTTATATGTATTTACTATTCTGGAAGTGGCACACTTCTTAAGGAGTCATGCAGAGACACATTGGCAACCAGCAAAAAAAAACGTGTTGTTAGCGTTACTAATGGCGAAGATGACCATATTTGTTTCTTAGCATGCACTTTACCAAGCCACTAACATTTTAATACGAAGCATGGAATAATTATACTAATATATTCGTTGAAAGGGAGTCGACCAGAAAATGTACGATGTTAATGTAAAAGGTAGTATAAAAAGGCAACGTCTATCTAGTAATTGATACGTTCCTAAGTTCTGCTGGATAGTTCTCAGTGTTTCCAGATTTAATTTTTCACTGAAATCTATCGAAGAAGGTCGCTGCAAATTTATCCGTTTACGAAGAGAACCAATTGTTTCCAACATAGGCAAGTTACAAAACGTGTCCATCATATCGACGATTCATCACAGTAAACGTTGTGCTGACATGGGTCATTGTTATGGCCGTAAAAAAAACTCTGAATAGCCAAGAGACATTCAACAAATTAAACAGCAAAAAAAAGATATGAAGATTAGCATAGGTCGACTAAAAGATAATTTCGTAACCATAAGATGCTATGTTTTTGGCTGAACGGGTCACACACTAAACAAAAAAAGCTCGATGTCCTTCCAAGTTTCAAACCGATGCCTGACTTGTACAATCGTCTCAGATAATATCATATATTAAGCCAATACAGGTTTTTTCTTTTATAAAACTCAGAAGAGTTTTGGGCAAGGCTTTTTGGAAGTTTCTTTCACGTACATTTTGCACTACGTCAGGGCCAAGATCCTAGGGAAATCCTGCACTGAGGACAAATCCAGATTCTGTAGGCGGTAGAATAATAAACACTACAGTTAGAACAACTGAATGCAGCTTCATGTTGATGCTGGTTGCTGCGAGGGGAACAGTTACCAAGCAAACTTTAGTTTCGTATCGCTCAGTATAAACTTTGGACTATTCTATAAGTGAACTCATATATCTTCGTTAGCTCTTCACTAGTCAAGACAAATGCAAATACAAATAAGTACATTTATCTTCTAGGAACTTCGATGTTTTACACGCGCCTTTTGAAACGACTTTCTATGCATACATTATTCATGTAAAGTAAACCTCATTTAGAGCACCATTCACCACATAAATATAAAGAGCACATTACTAACCGGAAGAGGCCTATCATAATGGGCCGAGGCTCGAACGAGCTTGCGGCAAACTCGAAGCATTAACAGAATCGACGTTGATCGAGAAAAAGAAGCAGAATTAGATTAAGCTATGTTCCCCCATCTGTCGCTAGAAGAAGGTCAACTACCCCTGCGCTAATTATGAACGCACAGATAAGAACTATCGCGAATAATTTTATCAACCGTTGTAGAATTATGTTTCTCTATAATTCGTTGGCTTTCGTCAAAAACAAGCTTAATCTTTATAGATATATATATGTTACACTAGAATATCGAAGCTCGGAAGCGCCTGGGCGATGACACGTCAAGCTCAATGCTTTTTTTCTAGGGCAATACGTCGTCACTGCAATGTTATCGTTATATTACGGAAAGAGTACGGAGTTCACTTAGATAGTGGTAGACGTAGGAATTCTAGCACTTCAGAGCTATTAGACGTAACATTAGCTCTGACTCCTTGTTCACGCCGAAGCAAATGGCTGTTGGTATAATGTTTGCGTTTATCGAAGCTCATTGAAGTTTGAAGCCACAGTCTGCGCATGTCTAGAAAAGCACTCGAGAAACACCACGTTTGAGGTTCAGTAGATATTTTTTTTTACAGAAAGCATCAAATCATTTAATTGTTAAAGACACGGAGGCACATATAGGGCATTTGCATACCAATAAGTTACGAGTAGTTGAGCCATTTGAACTTATCTTCTCGACACTTGCTTGTTATAAATGCAGATGATTGTTCCGGGAGCTCATACAAATCTGCTACGTGTCAAATGATCGTAAAGCACAAGTGTTAGAAAGATACATTCGATAAACGACCCGTTTCTAAACAGACCAGACATCCACATTCTATTTGTCAATGGTAATATCAAAACGAAAGCAATTTGTGGAGTTAAAAATAAAACTTCTTCCGGGTGCGCAGCTTACATGGCTAGCGGAACATATCTAGAGTAAAGCTGTCACCCCTAGGGACTCATTAACAGATGTGTGTACAATTTTGACCTTCTCATGACCATAACCTTATGTTGCGGCATTTTGGTAATTAAAAATAACCAGCAGAAATGCCTTAACTTAACAATTTTGCTCGTTGCGCAAGCTAATGTCTATTGGCATTCACTGGTCGCTTAGATACGGCTATTTGCAGGCTTTAACTAAAAATACAATACTTTGATTACCAGCAATCCAACAGTTCCTTTCTGTCCAAAGCTCTCTCTCCTCCAAACAAAGCATCTCATTAAAACGGTTTAATATTAGACAAATTAGCTCATTTATCGGTTCTGATCTCCAACTCGACTCCCTGTACGATGTGAATTATGTGATAGCATCAAAGAGCTTTTTACTGTATTTAGACTTTGTATCATATCCATGGTAAGTTAATGCAATAGATAGAACCACTTGGACCGCGGAAGGCGTTAAATAAAATAAATGAAGTTGGCGTGCAGTAATAAAGTGTATATATCTCATTTTTATTTTCTTGATTGTCGTTTTCACGTTACAAATAGGACTTCAAATCCTTCTGCTCACATGTCGAATTTCACGCCTGAAACTGCTCTAGCATTTTATTAGACGCAACAACATTGCTTCTTATGTGTACACTGTTTTTCATATTGCCATGTTGGCGCTTGAGCATACAACAATGCTTTCCGTGATATAGAAGCGCATCATTCTGCCTCATTTGGTTCTTATTTAGCACGGCTGTTCTGTAAAGACTGCAGAATATGCTCGGCAACTTCCTTAACACCTACGTTGTGCCTAGCCTGGGTTAGAAGGGTTGGCCCACCGGACCTCATTACATTAGCTTCTCGAATCATTACAGACATGTCCGCTCCAACAGCTTCCGATAGATCAGTCTTATTGATTACCAATAGATCACTCTCGGTAATTCCAGGTCCACCTTTTCGAGGAATTTTATCCCCACCTGCTACGTCTATACAGTAGATGATGTAGTCAGCAAGCTCACTGCTGAAATTTGCAGCGAGATTGTCTCCACCTGATTCGACGATGATGAGATCCGGGTGAAAATTAAGCGTTAGTTCTTTGATCACGTCCATGTTGGCTGAATAGTCTTCACGAATGGCAGCATGCGGGCAGCCTCCTGTTTCCACTGCACGCATTCGTTCTTCTTGCAAGGCATCATTTCGTACCAGAAATTCCCAATCTTCTCTAGTGAATATATCATTGGTTACCACACACAGGCTGTATTGGTCGCGGAGCAGCCGACACAGCTGAAGAGTGAGAGCTGTCTTTCCTGACCCGACAGGGCCACCGATGCCGACGGTAAAGGCCCGCGTAGCGAAGTCAGTCCTTTTGGAGGCTCGTGGCCTTGAATGGAAGTCGCCTTGTCTTTGCATCGCTTCGTGCGTATGGCCATGTTCCTGACCAGGCTCATGAGAATGACTGTGATTCTTTTCGGCTGCTCTCACTTTCTTAGCGAGAACAAACGGAACGTTTTGAGACATGGTAGGTTACGATTGAATGCTGAAAGCGGGAATCAATGGACGAAACAAACTTGAGACAACAGGAAATCGTAATCGACCGAGAACTGATCTTCCACCTTATAACTTCTATTCTTAATCAATTCATCGATATTGTTTCTAAAGTGCTCCTGTAAATCTGGAGAAAGTAAAGCTATTTGCGAGTACAGGGAAGAGTCAAGTTGAACACTGCTGCCGAGTCGAATCTCGAATTTCGATCTTGTCTGACTGCTTGCCTCTCTCTACATGTGAGAAGAGACAGAAACTAATCTAAGCCAAAAGATAACTGCCGTAGGGTGAATTAGGCATTTCGTTTACCCGTCGTAAATATGGTTCACTTTAGCCAAAAAAAAAACATTTTATAGTCTTGAATACGACCGTCGTTCAAGATAAGACCCCTCGTCAGTTGTGTCGCTGATAGCGGATCTCTACCGTTCGCTTTAAGGTTCGCTCGGGGCGGCTTCATATCGCAGGGCTCCACAGAAGAGGCCCTAACTAAAAGTCTTTTGTTAAGGCCATCGATCGATCGCAGGTCACAAAAACGAGTGACCAACTGTTTTTCTCTGCACTAGAGAAATGTGTGACATTCTTAAATGGATGGATCTTTATCACAAATGAAACTAATTGAAGTCTTTGCAGTATGAAATGCAGTACACTCCATAAAGGGTCCATTGAAGAATCCTTCCCAATTCTTAGAGCGGCATGACACTAAATGACATAAATGATCGCAATCCAGACAGAGATGTGTTATTTATGAAATCAGTAATGCTCGTTAAATGTAGAAGTTGATGATGAATGACTTGCAGGCTCCATTAAAAAGACTCTGAGGACGTCAGGATTAACCATCTCCCAACAGACTGGAGAGAAATATTTGACAAATTTATACGCGATTTCAATTCCAGTATAACGTTTAATTGGGACAACAAAGAAGTGAGGCAAACAAACAGGAAGCCTAGACTAATGCTATTCGAATAAACTTACTTTATATATTAGCTGACGAATACGCTCACTGGTTGATCCTGTTAGTTACTAGCACTACTAGCTACCCTCACTTTTCCCCCATTAACTACTCCACTAAATGTAGTGTGTGATATTAGGAAGCCTTGAGCAATCGTCAGAGCATCGTAATGCGTGTGAGTGATTTCCCATTGGGCCTTAGTGTCGTACGCGCTTTCATGATGATCAACCTTTCCTGACTAGCATTGACCGACGTAACAGCAGTGGAAAATCGACGACTTTTTACAATAGCGCTGTCAACGCACGGCACAGTCTCTCCTTTCACCGGTTCGAGCTCACTATGACTTGAACGTTTCCGATGATATACTAACTAAACCATAGAGACCATGCCATAGCCCCGCAGCCTATTTACTGGTGCCTCCAATGCTTAGACTGGCCACAACATAGGTACGAAGCACAACGTTTCGGTTGTCACTCATCGTATATCCTCAGTAACTTTTAATTGCCACTTCTGTCGGCCTCATTAAATAACGATGACGCCCAGCAATAAAGACACGGAACATCCTGAATTCGACTCTCGTGGGCAATGGATTATGGCTGGAGCAATACTAGCTTATGCGCTTACTTTTTTCGTTGTGATCCTACTGCGTCACATTGTCTTCACGTTTTCAGTGTACTCCTTGTGTAACTTGTTTATACAACTGGCACAATACGTTCGCGGTAAGTTAGACACATAGCTCTCTGTCCTGTTTACTTCAGGACGAACAAACATTGCGATATTTAATCGCTATAGGGTTTACTTGTGTTCGGCGATCCCTACAGTAAGCAGTCACTTCGCGTATTGCATGTTTTGTAAACGGCTCCGCTTTGTTTCAAAAAGTGTGAACGCTAGTTGTGAAAATGTCCTCAGATTTCCGTCATTAATTTAAATCATGTTTCATCGAACTGAATTAGGATTAGAAATGTAATTTCGGAGTGTGGCTCATCGTACCAATTTAATTAAACACTATAGCCAAAACAACGACCCTAAAACTATTGAGTTTATTACTGTCTATGTATTACTGTACTATTGTACTGAATTTAGTGGAAAATAGAGGTAGCTTAAGTCATAGTTCAACCATGGTTCGCGTGAAATAATTTACTCCCAATTTCAAACAGAATTTGATGGCGCCTAACGCTATTGTCATTGCTAAACGTTTGTATGCATCTGAACATTTACCGAATATGAGTCACCAGGTCTTCTGGTGTATCGTAGCTTAAAATATCGATAACTATTATCGCACTCAAAAAGTGATATGTCAAATATTGTACACAAACGGGAGTGTCAGCGACGCTTAACTTATAAGAACGATGCTTAAGGCATTTCTTGTGAATGTTGGCTGCACGCTTAGAGTTCCGCAACCTGACGACCAGCCGTCTCGTGGGCGGCGAAGATGGGGGTTTAGGAGGCCAGCTAGTGACCACATCTCCAAGGCCGGGTCATGACGCCACAATTATTAATGGATCGATGTCTACGGTGGTCGATCTTCAATGCCAATACAACGGACACAATATGTACAATGTAACCGACGGGACCAATATACCAGGTGTTTTGCTGAAATCTACGAATGAAGTAGTCGGTTAAAAATAGTGTTTTTTCTATCTCGATATCACTGTCATACTTATAGCTAGCTGATTTGTTGATTAATAAATCCGCTGTTTGTGATGGGTACGATTCCCACCTCTAATACCCTTAATGCACTGTCCGCGCATACCTATTCCTAGGAAGGGTCGTACGCGAAACCCAAAGCATCATGGATTTATCATGAGATAATTTAACGATACTGTAAATAAAAGGCCAGTTTTGCTGTTTGCGAACCCATCATTATGAACCTAAGCAATTTTATGTCCCACATTTATTATTATGTTTGAAGCACGTGCGTGAATTGCTGAATAAATGAATGTCAAGTTCCTGTTCTTAAATAATAAAGAGCGTGCATATTAAAAGTACGTATGACAGATGGATAGTTGACTTAATTGCGTGATATATACACTTAATTTTAAAACAAGCATTACCAGGTGATAATGAAGTTATTATAAGCGAGTCCGGCGCACTTTGAAATCAAATAGCTTGTCAACTGCGCGCCAGTAGCGGATAAAATTTAGCTGGTAAATTTTCCAGTCTTCCTGAAAACCGGAAATTGAAACTAACTGAGTTTATTTCAGCAGAAATGAACTCTGAAAGAAGGATTTATTTTTCTTCTCGAAGATCTACGCTCAGTGGTGAAGTTTTTATCCCCCGAAGTCCACAGCGTTGTGAAAATTCATCGAAGGTCGGTGAAGGCATTAAGTAAGAAATCGCATAATACATAAATGCTGTAAACATTGTAAGAAAGATGAGTGGAATGTTGAAAAGCCGCAAGGAAGTGGCCAGGGACGCGGAACTGTCGCAAAAAAGCGCCAATCGAAATCTCGGTAGGCGAATATTGGCATTTCGCACGTAATGTCTTACAGAATTATAACCCAAATAATGAAAATCCGAAAACTGAGTGAATAATGGGTCTTCCGTTAAGCGACTGCAGACTAATAGAGAATGCGTGTAGTGTATTTCACGTGTAATCTGCGGGCTTTTAATTAACAAAGAACGTGTCTAGGGGGGCATGGAATCGCCATAGGCGATCCAGGGTTCCATCTTTACCACCAGCTGGAAAGGGACCGAATGGCATTACCCTAGGGAGAAATCGAGTTCCCTGGGAATGTCGTTTAGGTTCGGATGTAAGGTGATGACGGGGACTTACAGTAGACATCAGGGACCTATTACTCTGAGGCGCTTGCCGATAATAAAAAACGAATGTAGATGGCTATCTCATATTCCTCTAGAGAATGATGGACCGTTGTCATATGGATCAAAACAACTTACTTTGGTTATGTGACTACAAGGCCAGATCTCATCGCCATACGTCAGGTTCTTCGTAAGGAAAGAAATACCCAACATAAGATCCAACCTTCTTATTCTCTCGATGTAAGCGCGCACGGTCGATTTAGTCAGAGAAGCCAATGGGAAAAACGTTATATAGCTGGTCAAAGACTATCGTACGCGATATATTCCCTACGCTGGGACAAATTTGAAAGAAATAAAGAAGGTAGCTTTAACACAAATGAAAAGATCATCATTCTAGTCCAGCTAGCTCAAAAGTTTGGCAGATTTACTCGTAAAAACCTATGTAAATTACTTTTTATATTACATATAGGTCAGTTAGTTTCCTTGCTAGAGTAAAAAATGACGCAAACCAATCAAGGTTGTCGGCTACTTTTCAAGAGCATGTTGTTTTTTCACGTCGCTTTTATTTTTCCTTCGTATGTACATATTTACAAATTACAATGCTAGTACATTACATGGATAGTTACAGTTACATTTATATACATTCGGCTAGTGCCATATTTTCTCTATCTCGTTCTCTGCCTTTCTCGCTGCTCGCATTCTTCTTTCCCTTCACCACTCATCAGTCATCATTATAGCCATCACCGCCGCCATATTTTTCCCTTTTCGGCCATTACACATCGAATTCGACATTTCTGGCGGTAGTTGTCGTAATTCATTCCCTAGCATCTTTTTCCCAGCCCCGTTTCCCTCATATATATAGATATATAATCCAAGTCGTTTACAGTTTCCCCGGTTAGCGCAATAACGCGTACACTGGCGCTATTTAATTTGAAGCAACCTTCACCCAATTGGCCAGTCCTCCATCACCGTTACCCCCTTCAAATGAGTCTCTTCCTGTTCCAGCTTGCCTATCTTTCCTTCAGTTTGTTGTTAATGTACACAATCGCTTTTTCCATATATATTTACCGTTTCCTCATGTCATCTCTCCCAGCTCGAGATTACGATTTAATTCGAGCAATGCGTCTCGCTAGGCTGTCTGTCTCGTGCGCCCTATTTCAAGTCCACATGTATTCCCTATAGAGATGTTTGCCATAAATTGGATAATACGGAATCGAGAAAAACCTTAGACGAGGTGATGAGAAACGGAGGAACCTTTTCGTAATCCGACTTATCAATATTGGTTGATGCTGTTTTTGAAAGTGATTGTTATTGGAGTTCACTTATTTTGTTCTTAGCGTTACATGTTCCATTTATCATTTGTGCCTTTCGTTTATCTATGAGTTCCAATATTTTCTAGAGATGTACAGTAGTAATTAGATCATCGATAGCCACTAGCTCTGTGTTGGTTCGTTTACTGTCCTATGCCCATTGCGTCTACGACTATTTCTTTACTGTTACTGTCTGTACCTAATCAATATAATTGATGTTGGGTTGCCATTATCGTGACGCATTTTCCAACTGGCAGCTCTGTTTCGTAGCCTTCTGTTCAGCTTGTTATCGATCGACGATGATATCTCGATGTTCCGCCAACTTTACCTTATACCAGCCCGCAGGCCTTCGAACCCGCACCCCATTTTGACCTGTTGACGCGACATTGATGTCATTTGCATTCGTTTCCCTCATATTGTTTCAGCTTCCTTTTTGTTGCAATTACACAAGTCGTCACATCATGTCATCACACTAGTATACCACTACACCACATTCACTCCCACTGCCATCACCATCGACCTCATCACCAATATTTGTATATATTTATATTCATATATATATATATACCTCATATCAACATCCTCGTCATTATCATCGGCATTTTATCCACATCATTATCATCCTGCACCTGCACCTTCTACTGTTGCTTTTGCTGCGGCTTATCGTCTTCCGTTTGTCTCTGTACAAGATTTTTCTGCCTATATATATGTATATATATATATATATATATACACATATATATGTATATGTATGTATATATACATACATATACATGTATATATATA